TTTCAATGCCAAGAGGCCCCAAACCTATGATGATAGGTATCCTAGAGAAAACAAATTCAGAGAAAATGAACAAGTTGCTAAACAGTTCTACGACCAAGAAAATAGGCAATCACCAAATTTTAGATCGAATCAAATACAATCTGAAACTACCGGCTGGGTTGAGGAAGAAGTCAATTGCTGTGATGCGATCTCTGATTTCTTTCCTTTAAACTATTAAAGTCTCCGAAACCGAGCGATGATAATAATCCTAAATCAAGGATATATCTTAGCTTATATCATTTTGTCACCGGAGACAAAAATAATAATAGTGGACTTGAAATTGAATTCATGGTTGTAACATTCGTCTACTGCAGTCACACATGAGGCTTAAGAAAAATAGGCCCTATAACCACTGGCTCAAGGGTCAGGGACACCATCTCTTGTGTTTTTCTACCTCAAGAACGGTCGGAGCCAGTTCGGTTCGTTTGTGACATGAGACTACGACCCGTTACAGCTTAAAGGCTACTACTAAAATATCCCCCCACTCTAGAATTAGAAACGTCCCCATACTTAGGTCTCTAGATACCCAAAATACATGAACGCCGTTAAAAACCGGGTTGGAACAATCCGTTAAGTTACTTTTTATTAGACAGTGGAACTTTGATCCATTTCAGATGGATCAACCTAAAACTCGCCTTACCTCAACATAACAATCATAAAACACACTCTAGGAATTTAAATTTGTACTCACATAGTAGCACGCTCAAGAAGTGGGAAATAATCCAGTCGGTAATTAACTCAAGAATTAAATAACGTAACTAAATGAGTCTAATGTTTTATAGTTTGAACAATGAGAACGAGTTTATACTCTAGACAATAAGTTCTCGTGAACCATTGGGACACTCTAGCTGTCCACCTTTCCACCGAAGGTTCACTCTGGTCCAGTTAATGATAGTACTCCAATCACAACAATCCAGTTCGTGGGAATGCTCTCGTCTCTGTTTTAGATGGGACAGCTCTACTCTTGTTCTATTGTGACAGAAATTGCGAATAGCAATTTCCCACCGTTTTATTTAGCAACTTTCCCGCGATTGTTTTATCGATTGTTCTGACTTCTCTTTTCTGATTTTCAGTTATCGCGAGAAAATCGTGCATGACATGCTCCATTCGAAATTTTGAAAAATTAAATTTCTCTCCTAAATCAAGTGTTTTTTTTTGTTTCTCTCAAGGTCAAACTTCCAAATATGACCGACTGGCACAGGTTGACCCAGGATCAACTTGTAGTATTATAAACTATCCAACTTATCAGGAATTGGAAAAATTAGGTAAAAAAATGACAATATACCGATTCAAAATTAAAGCAAAGACTTATAATGCATCTGATATACGTATGTTTGGCCATACATCTATTCAATCTTGTTTCCACACTGATGGAGAGTATCCATCTAACCACAAAGTGTGGATAACTGAAGAAAAGACTGCTAATCTTTTAGGAGTCGACTTTTGTCATCTCTTCTTAAAAGCTCTCTACTTTGATATCCCCGCAGTTGAGCTAAAATCAAAAGGTGTAATATCTTACGGGTTGATGAACAACGATAAAGAATATCCTGATGTTTAAAAAATTGTCTCAATTAATTTGAAAGAGCCCCTGTTCATTCCAGCACGCTCTACATACACTCGGCTGAACCAAATTCATACTTGGAAAAAGGGACTACATTCCTGCCTCATGAAAATACAACCAAAACCGAATTCGTTTTCATAAATAAAGTTTGTACTCAAATTGAGCAGAGCCTGCCTATCCTAATTGAGAATCAGAAAGATCATCCTGTCACACTAAACAAGTGTGTACTAGGTTATGCAGTAACCAGTAACTGATATTCAAGGATATGCAGATAAAGTATTTGTGATGCTATCCACGATTGTGATGAGTTCACAACGAGAATTTTAAACGAAAGTTCGGAATTCGATAGCTGTTTCATGCTGAACACTGTTGTCAATACTACACAGGAAAGCAACAACCAATTATCCGGCCCCTGTCTACAATATCTAGACTTCAAAAAAAGGTCCATATTCGAATCGAATATGCCCATTGCCCATACAATCTCTGCAGATAGAGCAATGAAAAAAGGGTTTGCTGAAACAATTTGCAAAAGGTATCCCGAGTTACGACACTTTTGTAACTCAATACATGCTAACATTAATGATATTCTCATCTTCACTGATCCAAAATCTGGACAAATCATATATAACCTCATTACCAAACCTCATTACCTTTCAGAAACCCACTTACGACGCTATATTCAACACCTTGTCCGAAATGAAAGATCATGCTATAGCAAATAACATTCGATCTATCGCTATGCTCAAAGTTGCTTGTGGCTTAGATAAAATGAATTGGGAAGAAGTTTCCAAAATCATTGTCGATGTATTCCAACATTCTGGAATTACTATATTTGTCTATGTTTCAGGACAAGAAATCAAGGAAATGCCTGCCTTTGAAATGTTTAATACAGAAAATGTATCAGAAATATTTGAACAAATTGGTTCAGATATAGTCAAAGTATGCAAAAATGAAAACGAAATAGCAACCGACTTTTCACATGAAGCAAAAAACCTGACAGTGACATACAAGGCCATCAGGCGCAGTGTGCTTAATTATGGAGCATCAATCTGGTCTCCATCAATAATTAATACAAATTGGAGCAACTTTCATATTCAACAAAACATTGCCCTCAGAACAATAATTGGTTGTGTGAAGATGACAAATTTTGATGACCTTCACAGGGAAACAAAAGTCTTGCCTGTAAAGACTCACATAGATATGCTGGCAGAACAATTTTCAGTCGGATGGCACCAGATTCACCGTTCCGGCTATCAGGCAACCCAACATCCAGTTGAGCGACTCATCAAACCCATACTCCCCGCCGCTTACGGTGTTGAAATCCAACATCTGGATGAGGGCTTAATTGTCGTAAAAACAATCGAAAAGTTTTGAAGCTTATCCATCACAACGAGGTTAAAAACTACCTCAAACCTTCAACGCTATTGGAACGTGTACCGCCTCAAATATCTGACAGTGAATCTGACTTACCCCGGATAGCGCGCTCCGGGTAAAGTCCGCTCACTAACTCATACTTAAGCCGTATAAAAATTGAGGTACACAATTCATGTCCAGAATGTATTGAGAAGTCCATCCTTTATTTGACTGCACCCGAAACCCGACTGACCTGTCTACCGAAGACCTCTGGCTTCATTCCCTCGAAGTTACTGAATTCCTCAGACTTCATATCTCGAGGGAGCGGGAGAGCTGAACTCCCTTCAAGAATCAAATCTCAGTCATATAACGACGAAGTTGCTGACTACTAAACAGCACACATCGACAAAGACGAAGAGGTGACTTCCAAATATGGATCAGTAATATTTTAACGAGTCCAGTGCTTAAATGATTTTCTTGTAAACACACATGTGGCATACCCCAACTGTTCTGCCGGGGTACAAGGGCAGTGGCCAGAGACTAGCGGAAACCCAATCAATCTTCATCCCCTACGGAGATGAAGTACTGGAAAGCAATGGCAACCTAGAACCAAACCATAGCAAAGCTACCTCACCAAATCCCGCAGATGATGGCGTTGGGCGTAGCTACTACAACAACAACTACAACAACATGGCAAGCGAGTATTCTGGTTCAAAAATTGTGGCGTCTATGTTGACTCTTCCTCCTGTAGAGACCAACTAGGCTCAACTCATCGTTGGCGTCTATGTTGAAATACGTTCTGCCAGACTTCCACCCAGCATTCTTATGCGTTTCGGTGGCCTCACGCTCAGCAGCTTTCTTACCAAATACTCGCATAACACTCGCATAGAGGGGTCAACATCGTCCCACACAAAGGTACAGAGTGTTCTGAACAAATCCATTATTTTGTCCACATCACTCAGGTATTGGCTGCTGCTCCATGAGGCAGAGCAAACGCTGTACATTGATTTCCACCATTCGCTCAAGATGGGTTGTCAAAACTGAAAGGTTAAATTTTTGTGGTAAAATTAACTTTATAGCGTGAAATGTTATCGTACAAATTTTGCAATTCAGTGTTAATGAGTGAAATGATTTACGGCTTACTCTGGTAGACATCAGTTAATAAAAAAGCGGTTTTTACTCTTTAAAATGCCTGTTTACAAGGGTCTTTTTTAACATCTATTTAAAGTTTAAACAAGAAGTAACAGGAACCGAGAGGTGATGGCAAGAACCGGATTGCTTTAGTTTGCTATTTGAACAAAACAATAGCAGTACAATCCAGAATTTTATTTTCTTTTTCGTTGCAAGAAAGTAATGTTAGACTCAGACATAAGAGAAATTATAATTTGGCAAATGTCTTGGTTTTTTTTCTCTCGATTATGAACCGACCTGATTTGATTGGTTTTTCAGTTGTCTAGCTTGCGTTTTGTGGCAACCAAATTAATGAGCAGTTAGCCGAACGAAATAACAATATAAGCTGCTTCTGGCCATTACGTATTTATGATTGAACTTTTAACATTTTCAACTTTCGTCAACTCAGTTTTTGGTTTCATCAATCATGATCAAGTTTTAAGCTTGACTAAATTATCAGCTTTTATTTACTTTCTTGCTTATACATGAGTTCAAATGAAATTTCCTTTGCTTTCTAACTCCTTTGCTTTCTAATTTAAAAAAATGTTTAGCTTAATTAAAGTTAATTGATGCTATACTTATTGTCACACGTTTTCTAATAGTCTATTTTTATACATGCATTATTGTCTAGATGATACGAATAAATCTTTTCACAACCATTTTTCGATTTTGTTTTTGTATTAGAAAGATGGTTTCTATGAAAGAAAGATTCAAAGAATGGGCGATGTTTTAGTGAAATATGTGAAATTTTGTCTGATAGTTTGAGTCAAATAGGTCTCTGCCTTCGTTGAGGATTATATTGAAATAGAACATCAACCAACTTGACTAAATATGATGATATCTCTATGGTACGTTGATTGTTCACTGTTTCAGATTTGTGTAATAAAAACAAACAGTTGTATGTAGCTTTGTTTCTGCTGGGGTTTGCTTACTAGCATTTGATATTAACCAACTGTATCATTTGAGCACCATGGTGAAGTAATTTGGACTGAAGTGAGACATCTTCTAAATCGCAACTGTAATACAGCATTCGGGTATGAAGTTCTTACCATTCACAGACACCAAATGTGATTCATCGAAATTTTGAAATTAATTAGTTACTAGTGTTTTTTTTCGACGAAACATTTGGCTCTGCTTTTAAAGTTTTTAAAGTTCATAAGCTTTAATAAATAAACATGGACTATGGATTAACACCGAAGTGGTAGTTGATATTGTAAATTCTTAGGTTAAAAGTTTTGTTATTCTTTTTCACGTTTTTGTAACGGTACACTGAAATTTTTAAATGTTTCTTTGGTGAGTCGCGTTGATCTGCTTAAATTCTGCCGCTATGTAAAATGAACAAAAACTTTTTTGATTTCGGTTTAATTGTTTTTTTTTCAAATAATTCTTTTTGTTCGTTATCGAAAAGTTTCAAGGTGATCTTTTTCGGTCTACTCTGTCATTAGTTATTTGTAACAGAATGGTATCGAACTGAATTGATATAGAACGAATTTCATTCTTATACCAATGTTACTTTTATGCGCCTTTCATAATACGAGCACCCAGTAACCCCAATGGGTTCGTCAGCTGTTCACTCTGAGTTTCAATTTACGGTTTATCTGTATTGTAGCTTGTGATTTTTTCAAGTATGTAATTACACAAGCAGAGCTTGTGCGATATTACGAACTCTCTTTTTTTGAAATTTGTTACGATGAGAAATAAATTGTTCTTCTTATTCTGACAATACCAAATGTATTTAATTTTATGACTCGGAGAAATGAGTTCCTTTTTATGTTACTAATTTGATACTCTGTTTTTAGGTGACTAGTAATGGACTGGCTGACGGGTGCTAACTCACAAATCGACATCATCCTCAACAACCTCGAAAGTAAACCAGAGGCAGAGACCAAATCGGACGACAATTCAGGCAACAAAGTGCGTCTTCCGGTCTTCCTAGACGGAGAAACGATATCAGGATCAGTCAATATAAACCTGAAGAACAACAAGAAACTAGAACACGCCGGCATTAAAATTGAATTCATAGGCGACATTCAGCTTTTCTTCGACAAGAATACTACGCATGAATTTGTATCTGTCGTTAAACAGCTTGCGAGACCCGGCGAATTGACGAGGTCGAGCTCGTTTAAATTTGAATTTCCCAATGCAGAAAAACCCCACGAGTCGTACGCAGGCCAAAATGTGAGGCTGAGATACTTTCTAAAAGTGACTATCATCAGGAAGTACAAAGTGTCGCCGACTAAAGAGTACCCCATACTTGTTCACGCCTTGCACTATTTCCCGGAAAAGATTCCGCAGACACTGAAAATGGAAGTGGGCATTGAGGATGCCCTGCATATTGAGTTTGAGTTCAACAAGAGCAAGTACCACTTGAAAGATGTGATTGTGGGCAAGATTTACTTCATTCTTGTGAGGCTCAAACTGAGAGTAATGGAACTGCAGCTGCTCAAGAAAGAAATTACAGGTTTGTGTTTCTGGTTTTCAAAAAGTGTGTTGCAAGTTCATATCTTGATGGTTTTATGGCTAGTTTGATGTTTCATAATGGTTGCTAACGGCTAAAACATCTTACTTAATTTATTCTTAATGAAATTGGAAAATTTTAATCTCGGCGTTGATGCTCCCGACAATTTTTAGCACGCCTGAATTTCACATGGCGGTTAAGTGTTAATGAAAGAGTGCTTGATTTGGGAATTATTTTAAACTGAAATTGCTTAAAAAAAAAACTGATTTTTTTTTCTGAATGCTGTTATTAGTTCTTAGGTATTGCGTATACGTACTAGTTTCAAAATCTTGTTAGAAATGAACTTTACACAGGTAAACGCTTGTGCAAATCTGCGAGCTCACTTCATAATTTTAGTCGCACATTTTTTGATCAATTTATGTTTTCAGTTATGCCTTATGATTATATTCAGTGCTAATTTTCAACGTTCAACCGATGCTGATTACACTTACAGACTATTATTATTATTTTTTAAATCATTTGAAAGATTTTGATGTCCTGCACTCGAAATTAAAAATTTTTAACTGCAGTTGATTTTAGCATTTTAAAAATCTGACCGAATCGAATTTTGCCTTTCACGATGGTTGTAATTTTAGCAGCTCGATTTGTTAAAATTTCACTTTTTTCTATTTTTTTTTGTCTTTTTTCGGCTTAAGAATTTTCGGCTCAAGTAATATTGACTTAGTGGCCTATTTTTGCGTCGTTGCGACCGAAAAAAGTTTTTGTGCACGTGTGTGTGCTCTGAGGGGAAAAGGGACTTAACATTTTTATTAGTTTATAATTTTGTTGAATTTTTTTAGGCATGGAGGGTTTCTGCTCAAGTATTTTCGGCTTTGTTACCGATTGCTAATTTTAAATTACAATCCAATGAACCATCCGGCGCATCTCGCGTAGAGGTAAAACAACATCTTGAGACGGCAACTGTTGTTTCGCGCTATTTTGGATTATCGTCCGTCTTTTTGTCGCCTTGGTTCCCGTAGCTTGATGGTTCAGTTTCATTCCAAGTTGCTGTAACCCCCATGCTTGAGACGACAAAGTCTGGGAGTTCGATTCCAGTTGAGACCTGTTTTTTTTGCAAATAGAAAATTTTGGCTGATTTAGATCATTGTCTTCGTTTTTGTCTGCTTAGTACCGCAGAATATACTTTTTTGAAAACTTGCCTTTTTTATAGCATGCTCAAAGCTCTTTTTAGAATTTCTAATGGTGCAGGACATTTTTTTCCGGATTTAATCTTATTTGTATCGCAAGTGGCGCGAAGTGTATGATATTGCATGTGTGCTTACATTTCGCACAGTCTCGGGGTTTGAAAATAGCCAATTCAGAATAATTAATGCACATTGTTCTCCATAGACGTTTAGTGTTGTCAGCGAATTAATCCGACTCAGAAATCACGTAAAATTGCAATGAGGCAAGCTATTTGATCTTATAAATGCGTTAGTAGACGAGAATCATAATGATTAGGTCATACCCTCTAAATGATAAAACATGAAAATGGAAAAGTATTAATACAAATTGGATGCACTTTACTTAGGAGTTCTAGGCCAATATCCAAAGTGTTGAAATAACTTGGACGTATACCGAAAATGCGAACTAAGCGAGAAATAAAAACGGATTTGGGGTCATATTTATGAAACTTTATATCATATTTATGAAATTTATTGCTCAGCTTCAAGAGTTAATCGTGTTCAGTGATTTTGTCTGATTCAGAAGGCATGGTTCGTAAATTTTTCCTTTTTAAATTTCATTTTTAGCTTTTGTTTGAAAAGTTTTATTTAGCTTGAATATTTTTGTCTTTTTCGTTTTCGGCTTACCTGGGCTCGGCCTAATTTTTTGGCCTTAGTTGCCGCTCGATCGTTGATTTCCAGGTCTTGTTAAGGCTGCTTACCAACATCGTTCGAGACAAAGGTATGAGATTTTTGTAGATAGTTTTTTTTTACTTTTTTATGTTGTTTTTCAGCTTTTTTCTCTTTTTCAAAAGTTTATATTGCCTTGTATTAATTTTTTCGCAAGTGGTGCGAAGCTCCCTTTCGCATCTGTATTCATTATTCGAAAACAAGCTCGCAACTCAAAATTGCACGCTTGACGAAAAACAAATCTTGAGCTAGCGAGCGAGTCAATTGTATTTTTTCACGCATCTAATCGACTCACATGCTTATAAGCCGGTCACCCTATGCGATAGTTTTTTCGACATGCTATTGCGGCTGTTATCTTTAAGCGTTTTTTTAGCGCGAAAGAAAGAGTATCCAGGTAATTTCTCTCCTGTTAATTTTGAGTTGAACTGTCTGCCCTTGCAAAACCTCTAAATGCTTTAATTAATAACAGCCTCTAAAATTGTTATCATATTTGCTTCTTTATATTGCATAGGAAATAATTGGTTTTGTTAAATATCCCTACCGTATAAAGGAAAACATGATGAATGATTCTTTATGAACATCGTTAAATTGGAACGTTCAAAAAATGTTAAGAGTGTATGTATTTGCGTTAGATAAAGAGCAATGCCAGGAAAGTTTCGATCCAAACTCTAAATTGAGATCAAAATTCAAAAATTTGTATTTAACATGCTGAACACGAGTTTTACAGAATATGGACTTGAATGAAACATGAAAATAGAAAAAATTGCTATGCCCACATTGGCTGATAACTAAACCCAAAAAGAATATTTTGTACTTTATTTACCATTTTTCAAATGTGACCACGTGACTTGGGTGTATGTGTGCAGGGCAGGGTACAACGAGGGTGGAGGAGGAGGAGATGGTGGTGAAGTATGAGTTGATGGACGGGTCCCCAGTGAAGGGGGAGACCATCCCCATCCGCCTGTTCCTCATTCCCCTCGCACTCACCCCCACCTTCAGAGACATCTCCAAGAAGTTTTCAGTCTCCTACTTCATCAACCTAGTACTCATAGACGAAGACGAACGCAGGTAAAAAACGAAAGAGCTAGAGTTAGAATAGTGTGGACAATTTTCAATGTGAAAGAAGTCGGTTTCCTACTTGTAATCTAGTATCTTGTAATCGAGAACTAAACTTTTTTTCCGTAAACAACTTTTCTTTTTTTTTTTCTGCTCATTTCTGACATGCTCAAATGCTGGCACTCTATTTCTTGAACATTCAAATAAAACCACTGTTTAGTTCATATGGGGTAAGAATTACTTTTTCGAAAATAATAATAGAAAAAATGTTAATTTTGTTTTTGGATTTTGGTTTTCATCCTAATTTTTGTCGGCGGATTTTTAGTTTTTTTTTCAAACGCAATTTTTATTTTGTGGTTAGATTTTCAAGCGGTTCTTTTTCAAAGCTGGGATTTTGAAATTTTTGATTCAAACATTTCTTACCATACCATAATTGAAAGTTACTCAATTGGTTGCAAATTTACCAACTCTGCTAATTAATAATTTTATATATATTTTTTGATACAACGGGTTCGGCGTATGTTATATCGGTCAAGTGCTTTTGCCTGTCCCAGAAAGTTTGGGCCGTAAATTTTAACTTGAAAGTTTCAAAACTTGAAGATTTTTTATGTCTACTGTTTCGTTTTTGCTTAACTAGTCTCGTCCTAAGTTTTTTAAAACTTATTTGCCGCTCGGTCCTTGATTCTCAATGCTTGTTAGAGCTGTATATGATCATCGTCCGATACGAAGCTCTGAAATTTTTGTATATGAGTTTTTTCGACTTGTTTCAAGTTATTTTTTCAGCTTAATTTTTCAATTATTTATGATGCAATGTTCTAATTGTATCGCAATGTTTACAATTTTTTGTCTAATTTCGTTTTCAGCCTAAGAGGGTTGACCCGTTTTTTTGTCTTAGTTGCCGATCGGCCATTGCTTTCAATGCTTGTAAGGCTGTTCATGAAGATCGTCCGATACAATGGTATGAGACTTTTGGAGATAGTTTTTTGAACTTCTAAGTTATATTTTCCATTGAATGTTTTTTGAAGAAATTACTTCCTTTTTTATTCAGTATCTTGTAATGCAAATATTTAAATGTATCGCAAGTCAATTAATGTTGGTGGTTTTCAAGGGCGAGTTGTTTTAAATGCTTTTGCCTGTTTTAAGGGTTTTAAGCTTACTTAAAAATTCTCTAGTTTAAACATTTTTATTTCTGCAGTTTCGTTTTCGGCTTAACGAGGGTCGACACATTTTTTTTGCTATAGTTGCTGTTCGGTCATTGGTTCCCAATGCTTGTTAAAGCTTCTTATGGGCATAGTCGGAGACAAAGGTGTGAAACTTTTGTATTTAGAGTTCTTCCGACTTTTTTCTAAGCTTAATTTTAATTTCAAAAAGGCTTCTCTTTTTTTTTAAAATTTTGTAGTACAATGTTCTTATTGTATCGCAAGGGTTGTGAAGCTCCGCTTTGGCTCTGTGTTAAACTTCACATTTAAGTTGTAACAAGTGGTTTACAAGCTTGTATACGGATGCCAAAAATATATAATTTGGATTATAAGAGCTTGCTCAATTTGTTTCAACACGTTTTGCGTCAACAAATGTTTTTCTCGTAAATAGTATGTGAAAAAAACGGTTAAAAATTTAAGTTCGCTTTTGGAATATTTTATGCTGGGTGCGTTCAATAAATTGATGTGTCAGTAAGTTTTTAAGATCAGAACTGATTTACGTAATAGTTTCATCAATTGCGGAATTAAAGTTTTTCAGAAGTGTTTTTCCCGGAGCGAAAACACTCATTTTAAAATTCTGAGGTTCGTGACAAGATTATTTATTTTATGTTTTTCATAATTTTTATCACGTGAGAATGTTGTGCAATTTAATTAAGTGCAGAGGTACGGACCATGCGTGAGACAACAAAGGCGTGTGTTTCAGCCCAATTGGGACCTGTTCTTTTTGCTATGTAGAAATTTGAATGTTTAAGAGGCGATGAAAATAGTTTGTGATGATTTTTGTCTTTTTTTCCAGAAAATGTCTTAAAGTTTGTTCAGGCTGATTTTTCTCGTGGTTTGAATTTAGATTTCTTTTTAAGTTCAGTTCATTTTATTTGTTTACACTTGCGAAGCTAGTGAATCAGTACGAACCTTCTTTTTTTCCAACCTAAATCGCAAATATTGGTGCCAATTTTAGGGCACCTTCACAGCTTTGACATTCGAATAGTAATAAGTTTATGCATTTTTTAATTCATCAAATGAACCGAAAAAAGTGATGTTTCAAACAACAGAACAATAAAGAAAACTCGATGTCAGATATTTTTTAGCTCAATATATCTAGCATTTTTTTTGAAATACATAGTTCATACGTAATGTGGCTTTATGCTTTGCGGTTGTTACATGAAGAGTAAGTGTGGATGCCTTCAGGTTGTTTTATTCCAAATTATTTGTACTTGGTGCCTATTTTGCTGAATGGCATTGGCAATTTATTTGCACATGTAGCTGCTGTATTCGTGACTAGTGTTTGTCGGTTGTTAAATTTGCGTGGCTGAGTGGATAGTGCGTGAGACTCAAAACTTTTTGGCTGCATTAGGTCGCAGATTCGAATCCTACAGGAGCCGATCTTTTGCTGATTCGAGGCTTTTTTCTACTTTTTCTTATTTCATTTAATAGAGCTGCTTTTTGGCCGTGTTCTCGCAAGTGTTTGCGAAGCGTATCTTCGTCTCTGTATAAAAGTAAGGCAAACCCCACTGTCGAACAACACATGTGTAAAGGTCACGAAAAATATGATCGACTTCTAGCTTCGAAAACGGAGTTCAATTTTCAGATTTCCAGCAAAATCCAAATTTTAAATAATGATCCAGTTTTCTGAAATTTTAGCTAAAAGTTGCCGGTCATTAATTACTCAAGAATTTCAAAGAACTTTAAGGGCATCTATTTTTTTCTTTCAAAAATTGCAATTTTCAATTTCTTCAGAAACAAGTTCATTGCCTCTTTTTCAACTGTCTGTTGGCTATATTTTCTTTTTTCCTAATGGTGCAGATAATTGAGTTAAAAACATCACCTATTTTTTGGTATTTTTCTGCCCGTAATCATAGTATTTTACAGAGCAATACACAGAAGGCGTAGTAGTTCTATTCGGATTTTTGAGAGATATTTTTTGAGTTAATGTCGGTTTGCTTTTTGGCATTGTTTCTAAGATGAGGTTTTTCTCCACGTGCTCATCTTAAGCCGACTAATATACTGGGGGAATGACCGAGGTTTGGGAAGTATTGTATCGGTTTGGGAAATATGTCTTCTGCCAAAAGGAAGGCAAATTCCAGAATCAAACAGCAAAAGTTTCGGCTCTTTTTCCTTCCTCCCACCTTTTAACAAGTAACAATATCAGACAGAATACTTTCAATCATGTCTTTTCTTTTGTTTCTTTGTCGCCACATAATTTCACATAGGCATCTATCTAGCATTGAACGATTCTCCCCAAATTTCCTGTGTCTATGGTCCAGTTTTTGGATCCTTGAAGTTTTGACTTTGGTTTGCAGTCAGATGATTTGATTCCTTTTCCGGTTTTTCAGCAATTTTTGAATAACTTTTCCATTCATCAGAAATAATCTGAGTTGTTTTTTGAATTGATGATTCAATAATTGGAATCAATTTTTCTTTCCTTCGGTTAGATACGGCCTATAGAAAAAGTTCACCCGTTTCCCTACAGCTTCCGCCAAAATTCTATTGCTCTTTGACAGCATGGCCTCGATTATACTTTCTTTTTGTAAAAAAGACTCTCGTGTATCTCTACAGTTTTGTGAACTCCGCCAATTTTCAAATGATTAGCCAACAATGCTTGAGTACATAATTCTTTTTCGAAAATCCTCTCTGTAGAAGATATTTCTAACTATTATGACAAAATGCAACATTTGTGTACTCATTCATCCAACAGTAAATAAATAAAATGAATTTGCCGTAGGATAGATGTGCCCCATGAAACCAGGTGGCGCTTTTCAGTTTGCGCTAACAGTTTTCTAACTGAGAAATGGTTGATGTTACATGTAGATATATGCTGTATTAAATGTGGATCTGAAATGAAATTACATTTAACTGACAAGGAATATAGATGGCGTTGTAATACAAAAAGTGCAGACATCTATATTTCTTGTCAGTTACATGTAATTTACAGATCCACATTTAATACAGCATATATCTACATATAACAATCCTTTCTCAGTTAGATAACTGTTAGCGTCAGTTTGATCTTGTAGAATATTTTTTAACTTTATCAAAATATTTTTGGAATTTATTCAAAAAATTAGAACGCAGAAAGTTGGAAAAATAGCGCTTCCGGTTTCTTAGACAACATCGTATGAAAATAAGATTCAAGGTTGATGCTAATTTGAATAAAGAAAACTCAGGTTTAATACAAAAGCCTATTATGAAATACACTCTTCACGCAATAAAATAAAAAAGATGGGGGTGCAATAGGAAAAAGCCAGTGTAAAGGTCACGATAAAGAGTGATCGACTTCTAGTTTCGAAAGTGGATATTAGTGTTCAGATTTCCCAGCGGGAGTGAATTTGTACATACTAAACCAGTTTTCTCAAATAGGATTTTTGAAAGTACTAATCATGAATTGTTCTTGAAATTCAAAGAGCCTAAACTGCCTAAATTCTTCTTTTGATTTCAATATCTATTTTTTTTGTCTGTTTCTGTGCGTTAATTGACTCTTTTCAACTGTCTGTTGGTTATACCTTCTTCAATGGCTCAATAAATATATCTATACTATATTTTCATGCGTGTGACCGCTATCGCGCCATATTTTAGCTTTTAAATCTTGTACGATTAATAAAAGATTTTTTGCACTTTTCAATTTTATTGCATATTGCAATGCTTAAGAGATTTTTTTTGATCCCCTGTCTATGATAGCTAATCCTTCTTTGCATGATGTTACGGGCGCTTTACGTTTAAACGAGTTTGAAATTAGTTACCCTATGAAAGAGTGCTGTCAGCGTTGTCCCAGGGGTTGCGAAGTAGGCTTAAAATATGAAAACCTAAATCTTTTTAGTTTCCGAGATGTGACGTGTTTTTAGAAAAGAAGTAACCTAAAAAACATCATGTCTCGGAAGCTAAAAAGATTCAAGCAGACATTTTTGGAGGCAAATTTTGCAACCCTCGAAATAGTACTCTGACAGAAGCCCACTATAGGGCTTGGGATTGCAACTGTTGTCAAGTGTTTTAGGTCTAGGATTTGAAAAATCATTTATAAAAAAACTGAAAAAACGTCATATCTCGGAATCAAGGATTTGAGCAGGCGTTTTTGGAGGCAAGGTTTGCAACCCATGACAGTACCCTTGAAAACCACAGTGTAGGATGCCGAGTTTCAAATTACGTCAAATGTGAGTTTTAAATCTGAGATTTAAAAAAAAAACCTTAAATTTAAAACACTGGACAAAGTTTGAAATTCCGAAGCCTTTAATGCTGTTCTATCTGGGTGTTTTCCGGAGTTGTAAGTCTTGCCTCCTATCATGACTGCTCAAAATACTTAAGCTACCGAGATATTAGGTTTTTATGATTTTTAAACATTTGAAAATTTCTTTAAGTTTGAAATTGTCGACTTGTAGCGGTGCGATATCAGGTTAATACTCCTAACGGTTTCAGATATGGCCCAAATAATCTGATTGCTCAAACCTTCTTATTGTTCCAGATATGACGCTTTTTGATTTAGGAAAAAATATTTTTAAAAAAATCTCCGAAAATTGACAGAAAAAAAGCTGATTTTTCGTTCAATATTTGAACTTTTTGACCCAATGGTGGTGTGATGTGAAGTTTCGCACAGAGGTTGCAGCTGTGGGCTCTTAGTTTGACTGTTCAATTCTTTTTCTTTTGCTCAATTCTCTCAGATGCAATCAGCCATTCATACATCCGACTAGCCATCCCTCCATTTAGCTATCCTACCAACTAGCAATCCATCTATCAAGCCATAAACCCATTGATCAAGCCTTATTCAATCAGGCGATCCATACAATTAGCCATTAATCCATCAAGCCACCCATCTATCGAGCCCTCCATGCAACCATCCCTCCGCACACTCATCGATCCATCAAGCCACTTATTCTTCAACCGATCCATCCATCTAGCCATTAATCTATCCAACTGGCCAATTATTCATCAATCGGCAAATCCATCTAGCCATGCATCCAGCAAGCCATCTGTTCGGCCATGCATCAAGGTATTCAATCATCAAACGATCCATTCGTCACTCAAACCATGTATCACTCCAACCATTCATCCAACTGGCGTCTAGCCATCTATCTAGACAGACATAAATGCGTCCATCTAGTCGTGCCTTCAGTCCATCCTTTCAATAAATCAGCCGGTGGTTGAAACATCTATTGTTCCATTCAGCCATCCTTACAACCGGCTAAACATCTATGCATGCAACCCATTTTTCTCTTAGAGATAAGCGTTGTCGTTTTTCAGGAGCAGCTTTATTTGCAGGGGGTCTGCTAGTCTAGTTTGAAAGTTTGCACTGCCGAAAGATGCAGGAAATGGTTTTCGTTGATGCTTTTATGAAATATCGATCCTTATTTTATTTTATTTGTTAGTTTCTGTGCTAAATTGAGCAGCTTAGCTACCAGTCTATTGTTGTTTTAAAAATGTTTATTGCGAATCTACCAAATAGCCATCTTTCCGTCCCGGCCATGATGGGGTTGACGATGGTGATTATATTGATTTTCTATATAGGTACTTCAAGCAACAGGAGATAACTCTCTACAGGAAAACCGACAAGGCTTTTTCACATCTAACTAGTGCTGCTGGTGCCCTCTCCACCGAAGACAGCAAGCGGTCGGCAGTTCAAAATGCCATGAGTAATGGGAGGGCCACTTTCCAGCCCAACAACACCAACGCCGCCTCAATACATAATCATCACTATTCCTCCTCTAATTATTCACCTCAAGTCAACGGAGACGTCGGCTCAGTGCCCCCAGTAGCTTCTGAGAGGTCGCCAAAAACAACATCAAAGAAAGGCAATAGCAGTGAATTGACAAGTGACGGAGATATGACTTGAGCGCAGCAAAGACAGCATTCGATTGAAGGAAAGAACTGAAATTTTTTCGACAGTTTTGGTTACGTAATTGATGTATTTTAAAGCATCTGATGTAAAATCTCGCTTTTCTTTTTTTTTAATGACCCATTCCTCACCATCTTTAATTAGAGGTAGCCAAAGCATTTTAAATGCAAGAAAGTGCAAATTGGTTCTTTTTGACGGGTCATCGTGAAAAGGATCTAATTGGAAAGAACCAATACAATGAATTGGATGGGTCACTGTTATGGGTATAGCGGCCAATGGCAAAACCATTTTGGGGATCATAATTTTGCTGGTCCTTGCTTTGATTAATTATAGCTTTTCAAGTTGTAACTCGAAAGAAAGTTGAAATGATGCTGATCTATTAAGACTAATGCAAGGGTGCTTAATTACGATTTCATATGTTATTGTTTCGTTGCATTCGTTTCAAAGTGTGTCTTAATCTGTGATATGTTGAAAGTAAGTTATGAAAAAAAAAGTTGAAGGATGATTGCATCCCGATCAGATTCGATTTCCGTTCTTATCAGTGCCTGATTCACTCTTTGTCTCTCCCTCTCTCTCTCGCTTTCTCTCAATTGCGATGCCTGAAAGTTCAATCAAATTAAATTCAAGTCAATGAAGTTGTTTTCATTCATAATCTATTTTATTTAAATTACTATTTGCAGACGAAGTATATCTTTCCTAAGTTTGTTTTCAACTAGCCTGGCAGTTAAATGCCCTTTCGATATCTCGAAATGATACAAAACACCTGTTTTTTTCAGCGTGAGGCTTTAAAAACAGAAAAAAATGTGGGCAAACCTTAACTTAATTAAGGTTCATTGCTGCGACCGTGAATGCCGAATAAAACTTCAAATCTTTTCATGAAATTTCTCATTTTTTGCCTGCTATGGTTAGTTTTCACCATGGCTAACCATGAGTTTAATTATCTGAAGTTAAAGGTCTAGCTACCGGATATAAATGGATCGTGCGTACTCGGAACCGTTTTTTCGTAGTTATAGCTATTTTTTGACAAAAGAGTCTTAACAGATGTTTAAGCTCGAATATATTTATTTTTCACTCTTCACTTTGGTTTGTTTTCTAATATGGGTTTTAGCTTTTAGCGGAAAAAATGAAAATTGCTCCATTTTTCTCCAATTGGGTTAACTAAAGGGTTAATGAACGCATTTATCACTTAATACACGAGCGTAACGTCGTGTGATTTAAATGTGATATTTTTTGTTTTCAAAGTTATCGTAGTTTTAACTGTAGTTGTTGCCAAACGAATATTCAAGGATATAATTTTATTTGCTCTTTGATTTTCATTACGAGGCCAAACTGTGCGTTTTTTGATTTATTTTCTAACATTGGTTTGATAATAATTTCTAGATTTTTGCGGAATAAATGGCCCCTTGATGCAGATTTTTGACAATTGGGTTAGTTTTATGAAGGTTTAAGGAACGCATTGATTTATCACTTACTTGATAATTTTTAGTGTCAATGAAACTACCGTTTTTTTCGGAAAAAGCGTGACAATTTGATCTCGCTCAGTTTTGATAATTTTCTGCTGTTTACTTTTTGATTTCTTGTTAAATTCAAGCAAATTTGCAAAATTGAGGATAAATTGCGCTCTTCAAATGGTAATAGCGCAAAAATCGAGTGATTTTAGTGTCATAAGAACAGAATTTTAAAATTTTGCAGCAGAATACACAAAATGATCAATTTATCCGGTTTTCTCAAACAGGATTAATTTATTTTAATTTAAGAGAGCAAGTGACTTTCAATCAGTAATTTTTCACTCAAACAATTTTAACGAATCTGTTGGAAAATGGACATGCTTTTTTTGGAACCCAATTACTTTCGAGGCCAATTAGATGTTTATTTAGAAGAGTATTATTATACAGACAGGTAAACAATAAACCGCATGTACAAATCAAACCCACCAAGGATTATGCAAAAAGCTATGCAGCTTATCGAGACATCAACCTGAAAAAACCTGTGACAGAAGTTGCAAGATAATAAAAAATAAATCTATAAGATCTCCATTATCTTTAAGAAACAATAAAAACAAGTTTTTGAAATACCCATTTAGTTGATGCTCAGTTAATTGGCTTAGATTATCTGGTATCAGCTCGTTTGATTTCAAAAAATTATAACATTTAAGAGACACATTTTTCCATGAACGCTGCATTATTTGTGTTCTAGTTTTCATGCTTGGTAAAGTTTTTGCCACAGATGCCCGAGTAACCCGACGATTATTTAGAGATCCCAAATTAAAAGTTTCAAGGGGAGTTTTACCACGAAGTTGATTAAAAATTTCTTTGAATATTTGTCTGAAATATAAGTCAAAAACGGTTTCAATCTCAAACGAATAAAGGATATATGAAGCATGATCAAATTTTCTCTTGAAACAAATAGTTTTAAAAATACGTTTTTGCATCACAAATGTTTTTTCTAATAGTCTTTTTGGTGTTGCACCAAATGCAATTAAACCGTGCGAAATGATTGGCTTTGCATAGCAGTTATAAAATTTAACAGCACATTTTTCGAGAAATAGTTTCTACTCTTGATTAGTAAACCGTTAAGTTTAGCTAATTTACCACAAATATTATTAAATGACTTTCAAATTTGAGTCTGTTGTCCATTTGAATTCCTAATTACCTAAAATCAGAAACCTCGGCGAGTATATTAATCCCAAAAGAAAATTTTTCATTTAAGTTATCCCGTCCAAATTTCATTATTTTGCACTTCTTTTTGATTTATGAGCAGTTTGTTATTGTTGCACCAATTACAAATTTTATTTTTTTCTGTCTGGAATTTCGTTTTCAATGCAAATTTTTCAGCATCAACTACCGTTGTATCATCTGCAAATAATGTTAGTTTAACGTTGCTGGCCGATGGCATATCATTTATGTATAAAAGGAACAAATGGCCACAAAACTGAACCTTGAGGAACACCTTTTGTACATTCTCGCATATTCGAGACCGATTGATTTCTCATGTAAGATAGTTTGTCATTAATTTGTGAATTTTCCCTCTGAACCAATATTGATAAAGTTTGTCAAGCAAAATTTTCCATCAACTGTATCAAATGCTTTTTTCAAATCAATAAAGCAGGAGTAGCCAATTTTTTTATTATCAATTGATTCGCGAAAAAAGTCAGTAATGGACAAAATGGCATAAGTACAGGAATGATTACTTCGAAAACCAAACTGATGCTTATCAATCAAGCTGTTTTCAGCGGCAAAATTGGATATACTTATGAAAATTAGTTTTTCAAAAAGTTTACTTATACAAGACAACAAACTAATTGGACGGTAGTTATCGGGTTCAGTTTTAACGCCATTTTTATGCAATGGTAAAATTTGTGCAATTTTGAGAAAATTAGGAAAACTCTCTTTTTTGAAGCAGATATTGAAAAAATGCGCTAAATGGTCAGCCAGCACCGGAGCAGAAATTTTTGCCATTTTACTACATCCCATCATGACCAGTAGAGTTTTTATCGTTCAAATTTGTAATTTCATTTAATATCTCATATCAATTGGTATCATATATAACGAACGTGTTTTTAATAACTGAAAAATTTGATCTATACATGTTTTGTTTGAAGTTTTCTGTTAGTTTTTCTCCAATAGTAGCAAAGTGTTCATTGAAAACATAAACATCGAACGAAACAGTATTCACATTTTTTTACCACAGAGATCATTAAAAGCATCAAAAATTCCGGACGAGTTCTTCTTCCTCGTTATCATGTTATCATAGTATCGCCGTTTACTCTCCCTTATAGCCTTAATAACATTGTTCCTACATGAGGTGAAATTATTTCTGTTTTCAATGGATGGTGTCTGAACCCACTTTTTGTATAACCCATTTTGGTTATTCATCTTTCTCCTAATTTTCTGATAAATCCATGGGTGGTTGTTTTTATTCTTTATTGGCTTTTTTGGGCAATAATTTGAAAATTCGTCAGTTAAGATTTGGGTCATTTCAATGATGTAAGGGTTAGGATCATCATCATCAATTTGATATATTATTTATACTTGATGTACTTGATATATTATTTATAGCAGTTATAAAATTTAACAGCACATTTTTCGAGAAATAGTTTCTACTCTTGATTAGTAAACCGTTAAGTTTTGCTAATTTACCACAAATATTATTAAATGACTTTCAAATTTGAGTCTGTTGTCCATTTGAATTCCTAATTACCTAAAATCAGAAACCTCGGCGAGTATATTAATCCCAAAAAAAAATTTTTCATTTAAGTTATCCCGTCCAAATTTCATTATTTTGCACTTCTTTTTGATTTATGAGCAGTTTGTTATTGTTGCACCAATTACAAATTTTATTTTATTCTGTCTGGAATTTCGTTTTCAATGCAAATTTTTCAGCATCAACTACCGTTGTATCATCTGCAAATAATGTTAGTTTAACGTTGCTGGCCGATGGCATATCATTTATGTATAAAAGGAACAAATGGCCACAAAACTGAACCTTGAGGAACACCTTTTGTACATTCTCGCATATTCGAGACCGATTGATTTCTCATGTAAGATAGTTTGTCATTAATTTGTGAATTTTCCCTCTGAACCAATATTGATAAAGTTTGTCAAGCAAAATTTCCCATCAACTGTATCAAATGCTTTTTTCAAATCAATAAAGCAGGAGTAGCCAATTTTTTTATTATCAATTGATTCGCGAAAAAAGTCAGTAATGGACAAAATGGCATAAGTACAGGAATGATTACTTCGAAAACCAAACTGATGCTTATCAATCAAGCTGTTTTCAGCGGCAAAATTGGATATACTTATGAAAATTAGTTTTTCAAAAAGTTTACTTATACAAGACAACAAACTAATTGGACGGTAGTTATCGGGTTCAGTTTTAACGCCATTTTTATGCAATGGTAAAATTTGTGCAATTTTGAGTAAATTAGGAAAACTCTCTTTTTTGAAGCAGATGTTGAAAAAATGCGCTTAATGGTCAGCCAGCACCGGAGCAGAAATTTTTGCCATTTCACTGCATCCCATCATGACCAGTAGAGTTTTTATCGTTCAAATTTGTAATTTCATTTAATATCTCATATCAATTGGTATCATATATAACGAACGTGTTTTTAATAACTGAAAAATTTGATCTATACATGTTTTGTTTGAAGTTTTCTGTTAGTTTTTCTCCAATAGTAGCAAAGTGTTCATTGAAAACATAAAAATCGAACGAAACAGTATTCACATTTTTTTACCACAGAGATCATTAAAAGCATCAAAAATTCCGGACGAGTTCTTCTTCCTCGTTATCATGTTATCATAGTATCGCCGTTTACTCTCCCTTATAGCCTTAATAACATTGTTCCTACATGAGGTGAAATTATTTCTGTTTTCAATGGATGGTGTCTGAACCCACTTTTTGTATAACCCATTTTGGTTATTCATCTTTCTCCTAATTTTCTGATAAATCCATGGGTGGTTGTTTTTATTCTTTATTGGCTTTTTTGGGCAATAATTTGAAAATTCGTCAGTTAAGATTTGGGTCATTTCAATGATGTAAGGGTTAGGATCATCATCATCAATTTTATTCAACCGATTATTTAGCGAAAACAAGAATTTTAAACAATAATCATCGTTCAGTAGTAAATCATAGTTGAAATCCGATTGATAAGAATCCACGTTTTGCTTTTCTGAAATAAATTTTAGGTCACACATAAGTCCAT